GCCTAAACCAGCAGTCAGACATCCCTCTCGCAATCTGGGACCGCTGGTTCCTAACCACTCACCTGCCTGCCTGCCTGATTGCCCCTAACTGCCTCTGCCTGCCTGCCTGATCGCCCCTAACTGCCCTCCCCTGCCAGCCTGATCTCGTCCCCAACAGCCCTCCCCTGCTGGCCTGATCTCACCCCCAACTGACTCTGCCTGCCTGATCACCCCTAACTGCCTCTGCCTGCCTGAGCACCCCTAACAGCCCTCCCCTGCCAGTGTGATCTCGCCCCCAACTACCCTCCCCTGCCAGCGAATTTGATTCTGATTGGTCAGTTTCTATGCCAGTCAGCGTCAAAAGCTCCGCCTCCTAGGCAGCCATTGGCTCCTCACAGTTCACCCAGATTTGGTTTATGCCAGTCAGTATCTCCGGGCCTATCTCCGGGCCTGATCAGAAAGACGGGGCCAAACAGCAGTCCCCGCGGAGGCCCAGAGAGAAACAGAGGTGCAGCTGCTGGCAAAGCCCAGAGAGAAAGAGAGAGGCAATGGCTGATCAACAGCTGCCATGGATGCTGCGGATCAGCCCCTGCCTCTCTTTCCAGGCCTCTCTCTGGGCCTGATCCGAAGCCCCCTCGGCAGTCAGTGCTGGGTTGCTGCATCTGCACCAGCAGCAGTCAGTGCTGGGTTGCCGTGGCGACTGCAGGACTGACTTCCGGTGTTCAGTGGAGCCTTCAGTCTGGTCATCATGGACCCTGGGTTTTTAAATATTAGGATTATTTTTTTTTGTAAGAGAACATTTATTTGCTAAATCACAGAGGTAATAAGAAGTAATTCCTAGAAGATATGAGCTTAGGAAACCAGTTATAGAGGCAAAGGAAGGGCCCTTGGAACTTGGGAGTGAGGAAGCTAATGGTAATGTGCCTGAGGGGGAGGAGGATGGGAACCCGAAGGGAAAGGTTCTGGCATGCTCCAGAGAGGGAGAGCCTGTGCTTTGGTTATCTTGAGTTGCTAAAACAAAATACCATAGACTGTGTGTCTTAAACAACAGCACTTTATTTCTCACATTTCTGGAGGCTGGGAAATCCAAGATCCAGGTCTTGGAAGATTCAGTGTCTGGTGAGAGCCCACTTCTTAGCTTGTAGACAGTGCTTTTTCACTATGTGCTCACATGGTCTTTCTTTGGCAAGCATTCTCTCTCTCTTTCTTCTTATAAGGACATTAATTACATGATGAAGGCCCCACCTGTTATGCCCAGATTTCAGGATCCCCAAGAAACCACACCAGGGAGCCAGCCGAGTCCGATGCAAAAGCATAAGAGTCTTTATTCGAGCTAGCTCGTGCTCCCCGTCCACCACACTCGCCGACGCAGCGGCAGGGGGAGCCGAGAGAGCAAGCTTTGTGGGTAGAGGGGTTTTATAGAGGGGTTGGAGTAAGGGGAGGAGAAAGGACTGTGGGCCCTGCCAATTGGCCAGGCGCAAGTCAGTGTCTTGTTACACAGGATGTGGTTGTGTCTATGGCGCGCACTTCCCTTGATTCTCATTGGTTAGTTTAAAGAAATCCTAGGTGTGGCTAGCAGAGGCTTGGGCTTCCGGGAAGAAGCTCCTTGCTGAGCACATGGCTGCTGCCCCAAAATGGAGGATTCGGGGCAAGATGGAGGGCGTAGCCCTCGCCCTTTCACACCCTCATGACCAAATCTAAATCAAATTTCCTCCCAAAGGCCCTCTCTTCAAATGCCACAAATCAATTTGAGTGGATGCAAACATTCAGTCAATAATAGGGTGAGAACAAATAATTGCACTTTAAACAATTTTCCTGAAATTTCAAAAATTAAAGGCATAATTTTTGAGACCATGTTATATACTTTTTACGTATCTTCCTAATTTAAATCTTATAGCAATTGTATGTGGTGCATTTTATAACTGGTATTTTTAGAGAAGGACTGAAAATTCAGCAAGACTAAAGAATTTGCCAAGGTCTGACAGCTACAAAGTTCAGATTGATTTCAAATATGTGCTTTCTCCACCATGTTTCAAACCCTCTGTATGCCAATTCGTTTTTATCCTTCTGGAATCATTTGCACATCAGTCTAAGTCAAATAACAGTAGCTTTACTGTATTAAGGCTAGAAAAATATTGGCTATCTGAAAAGAACAGCTGTGTTCTGAGAAAAATAAATGTGGTTGGTAATTCTAAGTATGAGTCAAAAGTATTATAGTAAGAAGCTATCCAAAGAAAATAAAGAGAGCCATCTGGAAATCTAGTCTTCATCACGACACTTTGTCAGTAAGGCATTGGCTGATGATAGAGAGATGGTAGCTCTAAGGCATGATAGAAAGAAGTTGGGGAAAAATCCCAGCAAGTGGAGTGAGGGTGTGGGGGCTAACATCCTCCCTCCAGAGCACCCACCTCTGGGCATGATCAAAGGGAAACAGTTAATTGCAGGAATCTCCTGAGGTGGTCTTGGAAATCACAACAACAAGGCCCCCTCCCAACCAGAGTCAGAATTTGACTCCACAAAGCTTGGAGACAACCACCCTTCCCCCTGCTCCCTCCCCCCTCCCCCCCACCACCCCCCACACACCTTGGAAACACATAAAATCCCAAGAACTAACTGACCATGCGCACAACTCACCTCTTACATTGGCCCACATCCACTCACTTTTTGCTTCTTTCACAGTGGAGCCCACGACCTGGCTCTTTCTTTTCTGCTACCTGAATAAAACTTGCTTTGTTCTCACTTGGATACTTCCTTGCAATTTTTCCTGGGCGAGTCAAGGACCTGGAGGTCACCTGAAACATGAAAGTTTAGGGACTGTGCTGGGGGGTAGGGCCAGCCCCCAGCGTGGAGTGGTCTTGTAACAGTTCCTGTGTTTACAAAGACTGAAGTAAATTGAACCTGGGTTTAATGACATACAATTCAGTGGAATCACATTTATAAACAAAGTATGAAACACATTTGCTTCTGTAAGTCAGAGGGACATGACAAGGCCTTTTGCCATTGAGTCCTTTCCTTCCTCAGATGCCAGGCCTTGCTTACCACATCATCCATGCACCTGGGAAACATCCTGTCATAATCCCCCTTATCCCCCACCCACTCCACCCTCCAGTGATGCCAGCTGCTGCTCTGGGAACAGGAAACCTTCTGCCTCAGCTACTGAGCTGGGAAATCCTTACTGTACTTCTCCAACTGCATCTCCAGTGAAGGTCCATTTCCCCCTTGGGATCTTGAATACCATCATGGGAAAGCGCTCTTGTTTAAAGCTTGTCTGAAGACAAAGCTTCTTAATGATGACACACAGTGGCTACAGGGGAAAACCTGTAGGATCCAGCATGCTGAGAAATAAGCAGCACACCAGATAAAATAGTTTCAGCATAAATGAAAATTCTTGGGAAAAATGTATGTCTGCTGTGAAATAGTCCCATGAGATATCAATAAATTGTATAACACAAATATCAGTTTATTAGTTTGTCAATGGCAAATGTGCTCTAACATTGAACTAGGTTAAGATGTTTCCTGAGTATTCTTAACAACCATGAAGTAGGAATTTGATGTACAGACGGGGCAGAGAAGGATCTCCAATAGAAAATAGTTATCAGAGATAAAATTTTGAATTTCAAAGGTTTAAAGCATCATTATTGATATATGCATTACATTTTACCCAACAGCAGAATATATCTTTTTCTCAAGTACACTTGGTACATTCTCTAGGAAAGACAATGTCAGAGCCCAAAAAACTACAATTGCAAAAGATTGAAATCATACAAACATTTTTCTGACCACAATTAAATGAAACAATAAATCATTAACAGAAAGACAACTGGAAAATTCACAAATATGTGAAAATTAAACAGCATACTCTGAACAACCAATAAGTAAAAAAGAAATAAGATAAATTGCAAAATACCTTGAGACAAATGAAAATGAAAACAAAGTATACAAAAGTTTATGAAATGCAGTGAAAGCATTTCTAAGAGGGAAATTTACAGCTGCAAACACATAATGGAAGAAGGAGCTCAAATCAATAACTAACCTTAAATCTTATGTAAGTAGAAAAAGAAGAGAAAACTAAACTGAAAAGTAGCATAAGAAAAGAAATAACTAAGATTAGAGGTAAAATATATAAAATGGAAAATAGTAGAGAAAATCAAAATATGTATGGAAATTTTCAAAGAACTAGAGCTACTAATTCTGACATTTGTATGGCACCACAAAAGACCCCAAATATACACAGAAATCTTGAGAAAGAATAATAAAGTTGGAGGTATCATATTCATCTAATGATTCTGAACTATACTACGAAGCTTTAGTAATTAAAATGGTATGGTAATGGCACAAAAACAGGTACATAGATCAATGGAAGAAAATAGAAAGCCCAGAAATAAACCAATAGTTATATGCTCCATTCATCTATGACAAAGAAGGCAAGAATATACAATGAAAAAAATGACAGTCTCTTCTATAAATGGTATTTGGAAAACTGGACAACTACATGCAAAAAGTGAAACTAGATTACTTCCATACACTATGTACAAAAATAAACCCAAATGGGGTAAACCTTAAATGTAAGACCAGAATCCATAAAACTCCTAGGGGAAAAAAACATAGGCAGTGAACCCTTTGACATTGGTCTTATAAATATTTTTTTGGCTATGTCTCTTCAGGCAAGGACAACAGAAGCAAAAAGAAACAAATGGGGTTATGTCCAATTAAAAATCTTTTGCACAGTGAAAGAAACCATCAACAAAACAAACAGGCAATCCACTAAATGGGAGAAGATATTTGCAAATGATATATCTGATGCATGATTGATATCTAAGACATACAAAGAACTGACAATCCAGTTAAAAAAAAATGGGCAGAGGACCTGAATAGTACAGCCACTATGGAAAAAAGTATGGAGAGTCCTCAAAAAATAAAAAATGGAACTGCCTTATGACCCAGTGATTCCACTCCTGGGTATATGTCCAAAGAAACCCAGAACACTAATTCAATAGATTATATACATCCCGATATTCCTTGCAATGTTATTTACAATAGCCAAGATATGGAAGTAACTCAAGTACCCATTAATAGACAAGTGGATAAAAAAGTTGTGGTAGCCCTAACCGGTTTGGCTCAGTGGATAGAGCGTCAGCCTGCGGACTCAAGGGTCCTGGGTTCGGTTCCGGTCAAGGGCATGTACCTTGGTTGCGGGCACAACCCGAGTAGGGGGTGTGCAGGAGGCAGCTGATCGATGTTTCTCTCTCATCGATGTTTCTAACTCTCTATCCCTCTCCCTTCCTCTCTGTAAAAAATCAATAAAATATAAAAAAAAAGTTGTGGTACATATATGCAAGGGAATTTTATTTGGCCATAAAAAAGAATGAAATCTTACCATTTTTGACAGCATAGAAGGACCTAGAGGATATTTTGCTAAGTGAAATAAATCAGGCAGATAAAGACAGACATCATATGATTCTACTTATATGTGTAATCTAAAGAGAAAAATAAATGAACAAACAAAATAGAAACAGACTCATAGATACAGATAACAGACTGATGGCTGTCAGAGGAGAGGGTTGTGGGGGGCTGGGTACAAAAGGTGAAGGGATAAAGAACTACAAATTCTTAGTCACGAAATAGTGATGGGGATGTATAGTATAGCATAGGGAATATAGTTCATAATATTGGAATAACTATGTAATGTACCAGGTGGGTACTGGAAGTATCATGGGGGTGGGGGGAGCACTGTATAAAATATCTGATTGTATACCACTATGCTGTATACCTGAAACTAATACAAAATAATATTAAATGTAAATTGTAATTGAAAAAGAAAATCAATAAAAATAAAAGAAATTAAAGAAAATACAAATAAATCAGTCATGGGGATGTAATGTACAGCATAGTGACTATAGTTACTAATACTGTATTGTATATTTGAAAGTTGCTAAGAGTAAATCTTAAAATTTTTATCACAAGACAAAAGATTTTATAACTATACTAGAGGCCCAGTGCATGAAATTTGTGCAAGGGAGGGGGGGGTCCCCTCAGCCCAGCCTGCACCCTCTTCAATCCAGGATCCCTCTCACAATCTGGGATCACTGGCTCTTAACTGTTCACCCACCTGCCTGCCTGATTGCCCCTAACTGCCCCACCCCAATAGCCTGATCACCCCTAACCACCACTGCCTGCTGGCCTGATCACCCCTAACTTCCCCCCCCCTGCCGGTCTGGTAGCCCTACTCGCCTGCTGTTCAGTCGTTTGGTCATCCCTCACTAACCCCCCCTGCAGGCCTGGTTGCCCCAGGTGGCCTGCTGATCGTTACTGTTACTGTGATGGTGTCCCGGACAATTTGCATATTCCTCTATTATTAGTATACTAGAGGCCCGGTGTATGAAATTCATGCATGGGGTGGAGGGAAGGAATCCCTCAGCCTGGCCTGCGCTGTCTCCAATCCAGGACCCCTCGGGTGATGTCAGACTGTGGTTTAGGCCCAATCCCGCACCGGCAGTTGGACATTCCTCTTGCAATTTGGGACTGCTGGCTCCTAACTGCTCACTTGCCTGCCTGACTGATTGCCCCTAACCACTCTGCCTGCCAGCCTTATCGCCCCCAAATGCCGGCCTGATCACCCCCAACTTCCCCCACTTCCCCCCCCCCACCAGCCTGATTGCCCCTAACTGCCCCCCGCCACTGGCCTGATTGCCTTCAACTGTTGCCCCTGCTGGCCTGATTGCCCCCAAATGCCCCCCTGCCGGCCTGATTGGGGTTGGAGGGCCGATTGGGGGTGGAGCCAGCCATGGGGAGGGGCTGTGGTCAGTGGGCCGGTTGGCCATGCCCCCAAATGGGGTGGGGTATGCCAATCGGGAGCCAGCAGTTTGGGGGAGAAGCCATGGGTGGTTGGCTAGCCGGCTCTACCCCTGATTGGGGTGGGGGAGGCCGAGCTGGGGGAGGGGCTGCAGGAAATTGGCTGGCCAG